TAGTAACAAGTGCCTTACTAGTAGTAACAAGAAAGCTAGTAGGAACAAGTGCATCGCTTCTAGTAACAAGTGCCTTACTAGTTGAATGCATCGCGCAAAGTTTGCCGACGGAAGTACTGACGCACTGACGGCCAAAGAGCGCCTGAGGATTGCCAACGTGAGCAATATCATGCCCCAGGAGTGAGCTGTGTCGGCTGTAGAACCGAAAATTCTCAGGCTTATCATAAGTGGCTAAGCACTCCTCAGATGTACCAATCAATGAACACGATGGTCAAAAAGGCCCCTAGTCCTTTCCAAATTGCTTCTCAAGTTGCAAAATCTGGCAACTAGCTAACCAAGTTGCTGACATGGTCTGCTGCCATGACGGCGCACCTCCCACCAGGTTATAATACAAAACAAATGCGACTCAAATCTTCATTGTGCGCGTGTTTTTCAACAATGATTCATGAATAAATTGTTGTATCGATGGCCTCCAATCTACTAACTAGCAATGGCCTCCAACCTACCAGCGATGGCCTCCAACCTACTAGCGGCTAGCTATAGCCTCCAACATGAATAACTGCATTAAAGATTCAAGTTGGTCACGTTCAGCTGTTTGATGTTGCACAACCACGTTAAGCTGTTTGCCACACCTTTGAGCACCATGGCGCCCTGAGTGCGATTCCGATATCGGAAAAAGAGCATGTTAAATGATATTTTAATATATTTTACATCTATTTCTGCAACTCAGCCGTGCACTTTCAACATGGCTTCTTCGCGTTCGCTGTGCGGCCGAGTTTCTGGAGTGGACCCCAGCTGCCGCAGTTCAGCCTCGCCTGAGATAGAATGGGTTTGGACTTGTTTTTGGGATTTACTGCTGGGCAGGTTTGAGCTCTCTTGTCCTGTGTTTGCAAGTGGGGTGTCGGCCATTGCTACTAGGTTGGAGGCCATCGCTCTTAGGTTGGCCAGGCTTCAAGGTGTCCAAGCTGGCTTCATCTAGTTGGCCATCCAAGCACAGCTGCCGACAGAGCCAAGCCATCGGCAACCTTCTTTGGCCACCTGAATACTAGCAATGCCCTTTGCGCTACTAGTAGCTTCTTGTTCCTAGTAGCGATGGCCTCCAACCTACTTGCGATGGCCTCCACCTAATAGCTTCCTTGTTACTAACAGCTTTTACTGCTACTCCTTTGCAGTAAACGTAGTAGACGCTCCACCAACGCGACAAAAACACTTCGCCGGACCGAAGCCTGCCACAGGCCAACTCTATTACCATCAGCTTGAGATACTCGGCGCGTTTGTCACGTCGAGCATTCACCGAATAGCAACATCAAGCAGGGTCAGACATCTTTGCCGCCAAGGCAGGAGAAATAAGCGAAGCGGGATTGCGTGAGCTGCATCAGGCAAGTCTGTGCTGATTTCATTATACTGGCAAGGCTGCTGCCTCACACACGGCAAAGCTTTGCTGCAAAGTTCTCAAGTTCCCGATTCAAGAGGGTCAAACGCCAAAACACCTTCCGGTTGACATGCACATGAGCCGACGTCTGAGCACTTGAGGGCGAAGAAGCAGTGCAAGAAAACATGCTTTCTTTAAAGCCACTGCGAAGTTCAACGTGGAAAGGCACACGGCACACGTTGGCAACAGGACGCTACTAGGGGCTCCTGGCATCGCTACTAGGACTACTAGGAGCATGGACGCTACTAGGTGCTCCTGGCAACGTCCAAACACACTTCAGCCACCCTCCCAGCCCCTTGATCTGCTGTCTCCATTGCTAAAGCATATTGGGCCTTTTAAACTTTTGCGCCTTGAGCCCCCGAGCGAAGAGACCTCCCCAAGGACCAAAGTGGAGAAGCTTAGATGAAGTTTGCCTTCCATCACAGAACGTTAGCAAACGCCGGCACGTGGATTTATATAAGCGGCATTTGCTTTTCAATGGCGAAAGGTGGATTTGGAGCATTTGGTCAATCACGGCTCGAACATTTGGAGACACCAAGAGCTCACTGCCCGCCCAACCTGGCACAAAGATGTACCATCTGCCATTCTTGTCAACAGCACCCAAAGATCTCACAAAAGTCAGAGATGAAACCAACATGAGGCAAAGCGGGCTCTTAGGGTGGAGGCCAACACCACTGGAGGAAGAAACTGTGAACACCGCACAGCGCTGCACTGCTTCCGGCGCCGCTCCCAACCTGAGCGTGCTGATGCGCACCGACCCAGAAAAGGATGGAAGGATAGAGGATAGAGGAGCAGCACGTGTACCGGGTAGAATGTTAAGGCCTTAGGGGAAGTCAAAAAAAACCAGGAAGAAAGGAAAGCAACACATAAACATGGACAGTGAGGAAATTACGATCTGCAAGCACACGAAAAAGCACACGTGAAGTTTCAAGAGGCCCGAGAGCTGCACAGCAGCAACAAGGGGGGGGTAGGAGCAAGGACGGTACGAGCGGAGCAAAGGGCATCGCTACTAGGAGCAAGGGCCTTACTACTAGGAACAATGTTTGCCATTAAAACTAAAAGTAAATACCAATAGACTTAAAATACAAACCCACAGAACCGCCCCAAAGCGCGTGGTTACTGGCGTCAGTTAAAGTCATACATGTGCCCACGCGGGATTATAGAACCAGTGTCTTACAGAAAAGTCAGGACTTGTGTCAAGACTAAGGCCATTTCCCAATGGAAAGTCTGCTCAGGACCTCCGCACTGCAGCCCCCGATGGCATGCAACACGCATGCCACATGTAATTTTTTATGCGATTACAAATTTCTCTTCTTCAAGTCACTATGCCGAATGAATCTAGCCACCACTCTCTCTCCCTCTCTCTCTCTCATCCGTGAGACCTTTCACCATGGTTCCATCCCTGAGAGGTCCAAAGAATACAACTGGTCCGGACACACTCAAACTAGGATCCCACAGAGCGTGTTTTTAAAACAGGATCCCTGTCCGGCCCGCTTGTGTCGCCTTGGCCCCTCCACTTCCAAGTCGCAGCAGGCTTCCCAAGTGAAGTGCTCATCCCAGCAGGACCTAAATCAACATAACGACGCTGCTAGTAACAAGGACGCTACTAGGTTGGAGGCCATCGCTTTCCCATTTTTTGTAAGCCTTCCATAGTTCCAGCAATTATGTCAGGTGGTGTTTTACTCTTTATTGGCACTACCACAGCATATTTTCTCAGAACATCTATCATTACTAAACCCGCTCTGAATTTGTGTGTTGTTTCAATGTCATCAGGTGATATAAAAAATATGTCAAGTTGGTAGGTATGATTGTTATGAGGTGCTACAAAGCTGTTCTGACCTCCTTGTCTTTTCTTTATCTCAAGAGTTCTAAAAAAATATTCAACATCAAACATGTTTATTTCAGAATATTTTTTGGCATCTCTTCAAAGTTGTTGCTTTACTTCCATAACCCGCTCTATCAAAATATGCACTATTCAATATTTCTTGCATTGAACTCACTATATAAAATAATATAACTATGTTTGAAAAAAAAATTGTTCAAAAATAATCCGTGAGCACTACAATTACAATACTTAAATTACCCACAGAATGGCACAGTGTATTGTCTAGTCTTTGTGCTGTGAAGTTTGTTGCTAATTTGCCTTGCTGCATTTCAAAATCAACCTGTCTTCCACAGTGGGCACAACAACCATGGAAATGATTCAAACACCAATGTTCATTAATATAGGTGTCTTCATCTATTTCTCTATCAGCCACTTTATCCTGGTTTTTGTATCCTTCAATCTTGTTTTTAACATATCCTATTACTAAATTATTTTGCATCTCTTCATCTGTTTTTTCATTCTTGGAAAAATATACATTGTGAAAATCCCTTGCTCTTGTGATACTGCACCGCAACCATTCTCTGCTTGCTAGAATCTGGCGGCCCAAGCAGACAGGGGACATCAATAGGAGGAAACATTACAATACTGTACATGAGTGGCAAAAATCATATCTAGCAAGCAGAGAATATGGTTGCGGCGCAGTATCACAAGAGCAAGGGATCTTCACAATGTATCTTTTTCAAGAATGAAAAAACAGATGAAGAGATGCAAAATAATTTAGTAATAGGATATGTTAACTAGACGACGAGTGGCCCGAAAGCATTTTTCATCACGTAGGAAGTCAGAGTGCGAGTTATCTGTTAAGTGTGCAGTGTGAAGTGTTACGTCGAGTGAGTTGAGGTAGTGTGTGGGTCTCTGTGTGTGTGTCTATGTCCGTGTGTGTGAGTCTCTGTCTGTGTGTGTGTCCGAGTAAGTTGAGGCAGTGCGTGGGTCTCTGTGTGTGATGTGTGTGTATGAGTCCCTGTCTGTGTGTGTGTGTATGTCCATGTCTGCTGCTGGCGCAGGTCTTCACTGTACATATAGTCAGCGAATTACCGCGGAGGCCTCCCAAACCCCCCACCGGCGGCCAAGCGGTGACAGGTGACAGCCCAGCTCATCGTCGTGAGCATTTGGGCTGCTGGTAAGGGGAGAAGCAGCGTGCACGCCTCCAGGAAATCTCATTGAAAAAAGCAAGCTGGAATGAAGCGTACTAAGGTTGCACTACATAGCCGCCAGCTCCCCAGATACTCCGCTGCTCAAGTTGCACTACCAAGTCACCAGTTCTCATCTTCCCACTCCCCAGTTCCAGCTCCCCAGCTACTCGGCGTACTACAGTTGTACTACAAAGTCGCCAGTTCTCAGCTTCAAGCTCCACAGACTGCTCCGCGTACTAAAGTTATACTAGAAAGTCGCCAGTTCTCAGCTTCCAGCTCCCCAGCTACTCCGCTTCTCAAGTTGCACTACCAAGTCGCCAGTTCTCAGCTTCCCACTCCCCAGCTACTCCGCTACTAAAGTTGCATACCAAGTCGCCAGTTCTCAGCTTCCAGCTCCCCAGCTACTCCGCGTACTACAGTTGTACTACAAAGTCGCCAGTTCTCATCTTCCAGCTCCCCAGCTACTCCGCGTACTCAAGTGGCACTACAAAGTCGCCAGTTCTCATCTTCCAGCTCGCCAGATACTCCGCGTACTACAGTTGTACTACAAAGTCGCCAGTTCTCATCTTCCAGCTCCCCAGATACTCCGCGTACTAAAGTTGTACTACAAAGTCGCCAGTTCTCATCTTCCAGCTCCCCAGCTAGTCCGCGTACTAAAGTTATACTACAAAGTACACCTCTCGCCGGCGTTTCGCGCGCTCGACACGCCCGATCTCCGCAGAGGGTTGCGCGCGCACAGACCCAGTCGATCGCACTCTCGCCTGCATTTCGCGCACTCGACACGCACGATCTCCGCAGAGGTTTGCGCGCGCTCAGGCCCAATCGCACTCTCGCCTGCATTTCGCGCACTCAACACGCACGATCTCCGCAGAGGGTTGCATTTTCGGTTGACGCTGTTCGTCCCACCCTCCGCCTTTAAGAGAGAATTTATAAAGTGGGGAAATGTTTTTTCATTAGGACATCTCCCGTGGTAGTTTTCCATACTCACACTTGCCTACTCATTGCATGCTTGCATACTCATCACTTGCATACTTACACTTGCATACTTTGCACTTGCATACTTTGACACTTGCATACTTTGCACTTGGATGCTTTCGCTCTTCCACTTACACTAAGGTACGTATAGCGTTCATGTTGTAGTGCAAGTGTGGTGGAAGTGTCAGTGTGTAAGGGTAAGTGTCGAAGTGTCAGTGTTCAAGGGATTTTCCGGAAGAACCCTTCGCAATGCTTTCGGGAAAAACAAGGTTGAAGGATACAAAAACCAGGATAAAGTGGCTGATAGAGAAATAGATGAAGACACCTATATTAATGAACATTGGTGTTTGAATCAGAACTCTTTCTGCAGAAGCCCCAAGTTCAAAGACCTCTGGATTTTTTTTTTGAGACCCAAGATTCCCAAACCTCTGGAAAATTGTATTATTTTGTATTTATGAATACTCAAAGCATCTGGTCATATCTGAAATGTCTCTATCTGTGGCACGATTTCCAGAAAAAACATCTGCAAACCAATGGAAAACTGCACTCTCAGGGACACCCGTTCTGTTCTTTTTGGGGGGGGGCGCGGCCCGGCACTGAACCTTGGTGCCAGCACCCGCTTTCTCAGTGCTTTTTTTTGCCTTGAGACGGCCTGCAAGCACAACGCAAAAGGGCACCAAGCCGGGTGTTTCTTCAACTCTCTGCATCTCATTGGATCTCTGTAAGTCACACAAATTCCACGCATGTCTTGACTCGAGGAACTAGAACGAAATAATTACCGCAAATGATGCACAAAATGCTAGTGTCAACCGTTACGACATCACTCGCATCACCTCGCTCTCCCTCAGGTTCTGGGTTCACCCTTCTTGGAAACCTCTTTTCGTTGATTCGTTCTTTTCGAAACACACCTACTTCAGCCTAAACACACCCCCTTAGAAAACTCACTGCGTTCGCCTACTTCACTAGCGAACCTTGTTACTACTAGTAAGGCACTTGTTCCTAGTAGCGATGCACTTGTTACTACTGCCGTCCCGAGTGGCGGGAGGCCAATGCCCCAAGGTCCAGCGCAGCACAAATCGAAGCTGAAGCTTCCTATCCAACAGCTCACCATGGCAGGTGCATCGAAGGAGGCGTTCTCCGAAATTGCTCACGTGTCAGCTCTCGAAGACCATTCTTTGGAAGGCTGCGCTGTTACATGACGTAGGACTTGAATAGTCGGCAAGGTATGCCCTTGATGCTCTTGTTGTGGGCATTGCACTGGGCATTTCTTGATAAATACCGTTCTCAGCAATACTTGCTACCACGAAGTCGCGCATGTGAGACTTGGTCCATGTTCAGCATCCATGTTTGAAACATCATAAATGTTGAAACTTCTTAAAACTGTCAAAGAAACCTTCACCAAAAAAAAACATATACATATAACTCAAACATTTTTGCATGAATACTTTGCGCGTTCAGTCCGTCCAAGTGCGGCAGATCCTCCAGCCGACCGGCGGTCCGGCGGTCGACGTCCACGGCTCCCCGCCGTCACGGCCGACGGCCGCGCGGCTTCAAGACAGCTCGGCTACGCACAGCCGTTTAGCTTGTGTCGCTTCCAGTCGGTTCGCTGGCACTCCCGGGAACAATATTTCACTTGTCGGCACTTGCTGCAAACCATCAAAGGACTTGTCGGACTCTTGCCACAGTGTTCGCAGGTATGGGAGTCGATCGTGGCTATCAAATCACGTGTGGAAGCTGATGCATCACCCAGTTCTAGCAATGCTCGACGCAAAGGCCTTACATCCCCAAATTCTGACAACAAAGAATTCGTTGTCCCAGTATTCGCAGCATGCCGAAGAAGTGTTTCAAGAAAAGACACAGCAGCTGACGATCGCATCAGAAGCAGGCAGAAAATGTCCTCGGCCAACTCCTTGCTCATTTCAGGCCACAAGTTATATCTGCTTCCAAGTGTCTCCAAGCAGCGCAGTATTTCTCCAATCATCTTGCGTTGATTACACGCGTGGAGTGCTCCACAGAGGCTGTTTAAGGAGTTGTGGACCGGAGCCAAAAGCTCCTCACAGCCATCAACCAAGGCCAAATCGGAAAGGGAGGATACAATTGTTCCCACCACATCTTCTTCATCCTCCAAAAGATCTTCATGCTCGTTCTCATCTTCATTAAGTTCATTCTTCTCTTTCAACAATCTGAAGCGCTCTAGTCGCTTCAACATTGCCGAGATGGCCTCGGCACCTGCTAGTTCCACTCTGATTGCTTCATCGCCAGCGATCCCTGCCAATTGTGATATCGTCTTCGCCGCAGCTGCAGCCCCAACGGCATCCCCGTCCAAAAGGGCCACAATGGCCTTCACTGCGCCGGAGGAAATGAGTTGCTGTCGAAGCTTGGCGAACTCTGTGGCACGTCGAAGCTTGGCATGTTGCGAACGGTCGAGCTGCGCGTGTTGCGCTTCAAGCACTTCAGGGGAATCGCTCCCCAGAAGCCCAGTCAAACGTGTCATTAAAGCCTTCCGATCCACCGGGTGTTTGGGTGAAAGCAAAGTGGCCGTGATCACGCCTAAAACTCCAGAGCCTGCAATGCGCCCCTTTAAGGAGGGCCATTGTGCGGCGGCACACAATGTTTCGAAAATAGCAACCTTAAAGGCACTCATCTCCATGGTCAAAGCTTGTGCTAAGGCCACCATCAACCCACCGCGGCCTCCCGAGGCGTCAGATTTCATTGACTCACCCATGGCCACTGCGATGAAAGCCTTTCAAGAAATGATGACATTGACATGTTCTTTAAAAACATGCGAAAATCGATGGCTGTGTTAATGAGCAGTTTTCTCTTCAATGTTTTTGGTCTTTGCGACGGCCATAGGGTTCTTACTTCAAATATCTTCAAATAAGAATGAGCGCTTCATGAGCACTCATGAGTGCTGGGCGCTTGGGTGACGGTGCTGTGAGCTGGCTGTGCCGGTGCTGGTGTCAGTTGCGCCGTTAGTTGTCTGTGCACGCTGTGGTGCTGTAGACTGTGCGGCGGCTTCACTTGGTTCTTGCTTCCATGTGGTGTCAGCAGGCCGTGGACGCTTTGGAGAGATGTCGGTGCTGGTGCTGGGCGCTGGTGCCGGGTACTGGTGATGGTGGTGGTGTTTCGATTAATTTGGGCCTTGTACATATTGCTGTACGCGTATATTTCTACGCACAACAGATATTCCACGGCTTGCACGCATCTTTTATAGGCATCATATTGCTTTGATCGGGCAATACGTATGCTGGAGCAGCATCTTTAGAGTTTGATCAAAGAACTAGTTGAGAACGCGGGGACCTCCAGAGTAGTGCTTGCGTGTGATGCTTGTGAAACCTAGGAACTGTACTGTGTGCGCACGTTTGGAAACATGAGTCTCCCCACTTGTTTGCCTCCTTGATTGCCCACTCGCGGTCACTGGAAGCTCTAGTTGGTTTTTTGCGGTTTAGTTATTTATTTGATGTTATGTCTCAGGGGTTGTCGTTGTTTAGCGCTAGTTAGTTGCTATCTAGGGTCTACGCCGGTGTAATTCATGTCTTAATCGGCCTCCAATCCATCACTCTCCGCGAAGGCCTCTGCTCCGCGAAGGCTCTCCTCGCAGCACCGCGCGCACCAGCCTGCAGCCTCGGCATCCTCCTCGAAGAGTGCTAGCAGCTACTAGCAGCTGCTATTGGGTAATCTACTAGCGATGGCCTCCAACCTAATCAAACTAGACGACGAGTGGCCCGAAAGCATTTTTCATCACGTAGGAAGTCAGAGTGCGAGTTATCTGTTAAGTGTGCAGTGTGAAGTGTTACGTCGAGTGAGTTGAGGTAGTGTGTGGGTCTCTGTGTGTGTCTATGTCCGTGTGTATATGAGTCTCTGTCTGTGTGTGTCCGAGTAAGTTGAGGCAGTGCGTGGGTCTCTGTGTGTGATGTGTGTGTGTATGAGTCCCTGTCTGTGTGTGTGTGTATGTCCATGTCTGCTGCTGGTGAAGGTCTTCACTGTACATACAGTGAACGAATTAGCGCGCAGGCCTCCCAAACCCCCCACCGGCGGCCAAGCGGTGACAGCCCAGCTCATCGTCGTGAGCATTTGGGCTGCTGGTAAGGGGAGAAGCAGCGCGCACGCCTCCAGGAAATCTCACTGAAAGGTGGAATGAAGAGAGAAAATTGCCGAGGCAGGTGCGCAACAAGTGTCGAAGCAGTGACCTGTCAGAGGAGATGCGTCCATCGATATACGATCAGAGGTAACGTTTCCTTCACTCCAGGACAGAGCTTATTTAGGATGTAGTTCACCAACCACTATGCTTGTCATTGACTAAATCACGGTCTCAAAGAAAAACGCGACAAAGTAGCATGAGGTGACACACAGCAAGCACCGCAGATGTTTAGCGTAGTCTCGCTGTTCGGCTCGCGACCCAGATACTCCGCGTACTGAAGTTGTACTACCAAGTCGCCAGTTCTCATCTTCCAGCTCCCCAGCTAGTCCGCGTACTCACCAGTTCTCATCTTCTAGCTCCCCGGATACTCCGCCTATTACAGTTGTACTACAAAGTCGCCAGTTCTCATCTTCCAGCTCCCCAGATACTCCGCGTACTCAAGTTGCACTACCAAGTACTACCAAGTCACCAGTTCTCATCTTCCCACTCCCCCCAGCTACTCCGCATACTAAAGTTGTACTACCAAGTCGCCAGTTCTCATCTTCCAGCTCCCCAGCTACTCCGCGTACTAAAGTTGTACTACAAAGTCGCCAGTTCTCAGCTTCCTGCTCCACAGATTGCTCCGCGTACTAAAGTTGTACTAGAAATCACCACCTGATTGGGGGGGGGGGTCCTTGAACCTGTGAACACACCGCATTCCATTTTTCTCCACTGAATTGTCTGAAAAAGCCCTAGCCACTAAAGCCATGCCCTACCAGGAGCCCTAAAAACAATGAAAAACATAGGTTTTTCTCATGGTATGAACTGTATGAACACCTTTGTGTTGTGGGGGCCCCTGGTAAAATGTATGATCTTGTGATCCTACCGAGCGAGGCTAGCCGCGTGCATCTTCTCTTCGCTGCATACTTCGCCGGTCTCTTTTAGCCTCCCGTCAAGATCCTGCGAGTTGCAGGGTCAGATCAAAAAGGCAAAAGGGCTCTTGGACGACTTGCAGGATTTGTGGCCCTGAGTTTGACCCAGTGGATCCTGTGATAAGGTTGCACGTGATAAGCAAGAAAGTCCTGGGAAATTGGGATCTGTGAGCTGGAACCTGGTGTTGGAACCTGGTGTTGATTGCGATCTGGAGATCTAAGGCCAATCCCGTCACCACAAGCCTGCCGTGCCTTTAGACCTCAGTCTCGAATGTGTTTTTACATTACAATCTGAAATAGAGTTTTGTGACATCTGGGGCTGGGTCTGTAACAAGCTAAGAAGTGCTGACATATTGAGTATTAGGAATGTGCCCCAATGAAGAAGGACTAGAGGGAATACAATCCTGGGACATTAGTGTTGGGACATTGGAGCTGGAGGTGCACTTTGTCTCTGAACTAAAGCCTTCAGGCCTCGGTCTCGCATGAAATTTTATAGTAGCTTGAAATAAAGCCTTGAAACATATTTACAAGGACAGCCTTAGGACACTGAAGTCCTGGAATATTGGAGCTGGAGGTGCGCTTCGTCTCTGGATTGGAGCCTTTAGGCCTGGGTCCCAAATGTAATTTTACGTTAACTTGAAATTGGGTCTTGAACCATAAGAGCGGGAACAGTCTTGAGACCTTGGAATCTTGGAGCATTAAGCTCGTGGGAGACCGCGGCGCCTGGTTGAGATGCTCGTGTCGTTTCAGTGAGATGCCCAACATCTGGAGCTTCTTCCTGGGTGCCGAAGTCGTCGGACGGGGTGAAGCTGTCGAGGTCCAGGTTTAAGAAAGAGAGTCGAGTCGACGGGGTGCTTTTGCATGATGAGACGAAACGAGTCTAAGAAAACAAGAGAATATCATAATTGGTTTACATGTGAAAAAAAAGAAACATGTTTTACATGTTAAAACGAAATATCATGAAACAAATTTGTGGGAACAATGGCCTGATCCAGCCTCCCAGAAGTACTTGGCTCGAGCGGAACGGTTTCTGATTGTGACATTCATGTAAGGACGGTCCCACTTGTTCCAGAGTAATCCCTGTCTCTGTCGGAGGTTCAGGAACTAAACTCACCAGCCCAACACGCAACGCACCCTATCTCAGCCCCGCTCTGCAACTGGAATTTAATGTCCAAAGGCCCCACTTCGCCGGTCTCCTTTAGCCTCCCGTCAAGATCCTGCGAGTTGCAGGGTCAGATCAAAAAGGCAAAAAGGCAAAGCAGCCAAGGTCCAGGGCAACTAACTGACTGAGTCCTTTAATGTCGGTTCCTGGTCGAAGGACCGTCCGCTTCGCACATATAACATTATATTTAAATATATATATATATATGTATTTATTTATTTATTTATTCCCCAAACAGCTTTGCTGTGAGGAGTTCTGAATTCTTGCATAGAAACGATGCTGGGCCAAGATGATTTTCTCCCCCCTATCCCCGCTTGTCTCCCTTTGTCCCCCCTTGTCTCCCCTTGTCTCCCATTGTCTCCCATGGTATGTTTGGATGCTGGGCTGAGATGATGTTGCTTTGTCTCCCCTTCTCCCCTTGTCTCCCTTTGTCTCCCATGGTATGTCTGGATGCTGGGCTGAGACTAGGACTTTTTTTGTTTCCCTTTGCCGCCCTTTGTCTTCCGTTGTGTTTGTGGACACTGGGCTGCGATGGGGTTGCTTTGTCTCCCATGGCGTGTCTTGATGCTGGGCTGACATGCTTTTGCTTTGTCTGCCTTTGTCCGCCTTGTCTCCCTTCTGTCTCACTTTTGTCTCCGGTCTTCTCTCCCTTGTTTCCCTCTGTTTCTTTTTGTCTCCCTTCTTGTCTCTCTTCTTGTTGGTCACTGTGTTCCCAGTGTCTCCCTTTGTCTCCGGTCTTGTCTCCCTTCTTGCTTTCCTTCTGTTTCACTTCTTGTCTCTTTTTTTGTTGGTCACTGTGTCCGCCTTGTCTCCCTTCTCTCTCCCTTCTTGTTGGTCATTGCGTCCGCCTTGTCTCCCTCTCTCTCCCGTTCTCTCCTTGCTTGTTTCGCTTCTCATGGGTCACTGTGTCCGCCTTGCCTCCCTTTGTCTCCCTTCTTGTTTACCTTCTTGTTGGTCACTGTGTCCGCCTTGCTTCCCTTCTGTCTCCTTTTGTCTCGCTTCTTGTTGGTCAAAAAATAGCGTTCCCACATTAGAAGACACCAGATTTTTGGGGCCCGAACTTCCGTGCCTTTTCAAAGTGCAATGTCATGGTTTTGTTTCTGTATGCCATGGCTGTTGGAAGCAAACAGCCTTAACAAATGCTGTTTGGGGTCGGTGCTGGTGTATTTATTTATTTTTTATTCACTCATTCATTTCTTTTTTATGGCCATCCAACGAGGCCAGAATTCAAGACTGATCGTGCATAAATATATAGTATAGTAGGGTTGGAACATGTTGACATGGAAGCCTAAAAACGCAACACATCTGCACGATAAGCTGCAAACTTTTTCCACGATTCGCAGCTGTCACTTGCTGTTCCCCCAGCACAGCGTCAGGCTGCGAGGTGAAATCAGCTGTCGGCGTAACGCCAAACTACCCCATCTACCCCACACGAACACAAGGAGTCGTCAAATTGTCGAGCAATGCCACAAAAGCCTGCACCTCCTTTTTGGCAGCTTGCTCTCCTCCTGCAGCGGTGCAGGTTGGCGCAAGCTTGCTGGCCCATGCTTGTTTTCTATTTGTCCACATTTAGCCAGCTTTGATCTCGCACAAAAATGAGCGAGAAAAGATAGGAAAACACATCCGGGGCAATCTTTAATCAGCAGGAGCAAGTGAAGAAACATCTTTCATGATCTTTCATGAGAACCATGCAATCTTGAATGTGTGCACAAACTCTGCCTCCCAAGTATTGCTTATGTATGAATACGTACAAATAGACCCACAACAAGATAGAACAAGACGTTCCTGGCTGGCCTGGTTTGGGCGTCATCTTTTGTAGCTGCTGGAGAACGTTCTCACCAATCTGGGCCTTTCCATTGCTGGCGAAGGCGGTCTGAAGGGCCTGGGGAGCTCTGAGAACAACTTCTTCCCAGCTAATCTTCTTTTTGAGGCCATGCTTGGCGTTGAATGGCAAGCACCCGTGCTTGTCCAAGAGAGGTGCTTTCAGGGACGCAAACATGGCAGGAAGCTGTGTCATGTATGCCTTGGCGTTGTCTTTACCCTTTTGGTTCATTTGCAAATCTTCAGCTGCAAACAATTGGATGGGTGTACTGCTGGCCTCTCCTGGCCTTGGGCGTACCGCCCTGGTGTCTTCGTGCTGGAGTTCCTTGAAGAACTGCCATGGCGCCTTGGAGCTTGAAATCTCTCCGATTTGCCGGAAAGCTTCCTCCGATAGCTGAACAACCACATGGAAAGGGTCCTCTGCGACTTTTGGGTTTTCAGCTACGAAAATGAAGCTCTCAAGTGGGTCGATGAGGGCGATCTGACTGAAGCTCGTCCCAGACCAGCAGCGCGGCCCGCGTTTGTCAGCTTCCAACCTCAAGACACGCAGTTTCTTGACATGTTGCGCAGGGGTTCCGGTAGCCATGGCCTTCGAAGCTCG